TCGATAACGATTGGATAAAAGGTCGGATGCCGTGCACGTTCACCCGCCGCCGTCACTCGCATGGCGCTGCAAAACGTCACGCGACGGCGGTGGTGGTGGCGGCGGCGGCGGCGGCGGTGGCTGTGCTGGATTCTAGATTTCGTTGGGAGGCAACGGGGGAGCTTGAGAGGACCAGAGTCCGACTCGCGACCGTATCACCCACCGTTTATATCTCATTGTCATATTACGTCGATGAAAAAAAAGAGAGAGAATGAGTCAATTAATGGGAATTAAAAATATATGTCCAAGATTTTAGCAGTGACTGCTGAATGGAGGCTGCGATGGTGTTAAGATGGGCGCGTGGGATCGTCTGCTGGAACAACGGTGAATCTAGTATCGCGGGATTGGAGTTTCGAGAGACGTGCGTGCTCGAGTGCTTGGATGCTGGTAATCGAGCACATTCTCTTAATAATACTAGGAACGGGCAAAAAAATTGGAGCTTGAACGTGAAAGCTCGGCGAGAAAGCTCGAGGGTTTGGAGCCTACTAGGCGCATTATATGTCTACGTCTCGAGGACATAAGGAGCGCCACGTTATAGGCGAACTCGGCAAAGGGTCTCGGCTGCTGGGGATGGCCCACTTTGGATTTGCGGAACGCTCGCGACGAGGGAATCCTTGCGGAAACCCGTTGCACACCAAGGTGGGAGTAAAGCACCGCCCGAAGCTCGCTTCTAAGGTCTGCGCTAGGATGGCAGCAGCGGCGGCAGCGGCAGCTGCAGCAACGACAGTGGCGCTGACGGGGGATGGAATGAGAACCGAGTAGGAGGAGGAAGAGGAACAGGAGCAGGAGGAAGAGGAGGTGGTGGGAGTTGTGGAGCATGGGGAGGATGAGGAGGAGGTGGGAGCGGATAGTGGCGCCGGGCTTCTCGAACTGATCAATACTTGAAACAGCGGGGAGCTATATCTCGCTGCTATTTCCGGTCCCCCGCCCCGGTAGCTCGAGGCCGGAAATGAAGGCGTTAAAAATACGCGCACATCCCGACCGTATCCCCGACCATATCATCGACGACTACGAGGACGACGACGGTAACGCCGGCTGTGCCAATGATACTTGCCGAAGGGTAGGCGGGGAAGATCCTTATCGGGCGAGAGGCCGACGCTCCTCTGATCGACTTTTAATTATAGCTAAGCGTCCGAACGATGATCGCAATGCCGAGCTAAGATGGCGCTACGCCCGACTCGCTCGCGCCGGAAATTACACTCACCTGGGCATTGTTAGATTGGACATTGTATTGATGGATCTGGTCCGCTTCGGAGATCGCGAAAGCATCCGTGATTTTGAGATTAAGGAGCGGCTTGGAAATACGCTAGGATCATTGTCATCGTAATCGTTCGATCGGTTGCGCGAGGACGACGAGGAAGACGGTGAGGATGGAGCTCGGTCCGAAGCGGCGTTAACGCACGCGTAATCCCAGGCAAATCGCGTCCAATGTAGAAGGAGGTAGGCGTGACCGCGCGTGGGAGTCCGGCCGCGCGGATTTGCGAAATCGCGAAGGGTTGGTCGGGTTGATCAACAGGTAGAGAGACGCAGGCGCGCGGATAAGCCACGGGGTTAAGCCGCTCATCACACCCTCGGAGGGTGTGACCCGCGATCGGATTGGCCGAACCGGACGTGTGAGGCCGACGTCCTGCGCACCAACTCTCGCGGCGCTCCGTCTTTTTTCGTCGTTTAACTTTTCTCCTTCTGCTCTTATCGACCCTTTTTTGTTTTCAGCACTCACTTTATCGATGCAGGATTGCATGGGGTCCGAACTGAACGAAGCACATCGTCGTCGGGTTATTTCTACTGGTTTCTTTGGCTCACGAGCGACTCTCGATTCGCAAGGGGACAAAAGCGTTTTGCGCTCACTCACAGGCAGATTCTAAGCTTTTCTCAGGGATTTGAAATTTTTTGCGAGATCGTCGGGTATTTCTTAAACGGCAGCGTGGACGTAATTTGTTAAATCGCGAGAATCACGTTCTCTATAAAATAATATCGAATTTGGATTGTACGGGTAATTTCGTATTAATAACATTTGTATGGGCGAGGGTAGACCGTGTCACATATCTCTAAAGATATGGAATTTGTTGAAATAGAATCGTAAGCTTTTCCACATTGCCATTGAAATCTGTCGACTGAAAGTTTATAATACTCAGAATTTATAAATTATTGGCTGAATTACTTAAAATAGCGGAACTCGTTTTATGAATATGACTATGCCCATTACCAATCCATTTACTCATATTATATATTGACGTCGTAAAATTACACGCATGTACACAAGATTCATATCTCTATTATCATTTATATGAATATAATCAATTTTGTATTTAAACTTTCATACGCTCGAGTCTATGAAATATCAATGTGCTTTGTATTGCGAAATGAAATAGAAAGTTGGAAACGTACATTGACTTTATAAGCGATGAAAATAACGAAGGAATTTAATATTCGAGCGTAGAATAATGGTACGACTACGTCGTTTAAACGATACCCATTCGACATACCCTTTAATTCCTAAATCAGGCATTCTGTTATCAAATACGCATACAGAGGCATCTATCGTAGTATAGATGAGATAAAGTCCGGGCCACTCAGTCCCCCAATGAAAGTAAAAATTTCTCTGACGAAGGTATAATATGTGTCAGGCTACGTATCTCTCACGATCCTCGGCGACAGCTTCATTACGAATAGCAGGAAACAGAGATAAATAATAGTGTGAACTTAATGGTGAACACCAATACATCTACAGATTGCGTTGATTTTCTGAAAAGTTTCTATGCAAGGAAATTTTTTGATCGCTCATAACCACGCCAAGTCGAACGTGCAATTCGGCCGTCCGTAGTCCCAAGTAGCTTTCGGTCCGCGAAAACGCATCCACTTACGGCCGAATGGGATTTTCGGAAAAGTAGTGCGGATCCCGCTGAACGAGTCCATCCTTGCCTCTCTCGTCCCTTTAATGTTGTATAACGGGGTGGGATTGACTGACGAGGATGGCAAGGGTGGCGAGTTGAGAGGGGAGGGGGAGAGAAGCGACTCGCTTAGTCCCGGCGAATGAGCGGACATCGTGACGCGACAATATCGGCTTTTCGGATACCCGGCAATATTAATCCGATGTCCGGGTTTTCCAGCAACGTGGCTCCTTCGCTTCCTTCCATCGTGAAATATCCGTCTCCCTTTCACGCTGGAGCGCATATTTGCAAGACTGTCGTCCTGCCCTTCCCGACCACTCTTCCGCCAATGCCGAGAAATTAGGTTCGCCCTGTGGCTTTGTCATCCTGGCATTTAAGTCCATCCAAGACAAGTCCTATTTATTCATCCACCAACCGTCCAAGCATCAAATTAACTTACTTTATCTAGGCAGCGAGCGTTCTGTCAATAAATCTCTATCTACTGTCGATTTCACCGAGGAAATGCACATATACTGAATCATCATGTTCGTTTAACGAGAAATATAAAGCGCATAGAATGAATTGTCATACCAGTCATCCCCCAAAGAATATTGTAATCATAATTTTATTTTTTTTCTTTTTTTTTCTTTTTTTTTCTTTTTTTTTTCTTTTTTTTTTTGCCATATATATATAACAATAATAATTTTTCTAACAAAGACGACGACGACGACGACGATGACGACGACGACGACAACGAGAATAATAATAGTTATAACCGTAATAACGATAATAATAGCTAAATATCCATGAGGAACGATTAATTTTCCTTTTTTTCTGTACTCCTACGTAATTGTGCAATTACGTAAACGTGCTAATGCAAAAGGCTTATTTTCACTCTCTGTCCATTATAATTATTATCCGTATAAGAATAGAGCTCTATTCACCGAGCGAAAGTATTATCTTATTTTTAAAATTCTTATCGCTCTTACTTTTACATCATACGATTATGAAAAATGTCACCAAAACAGTTATATCTATTTCATAAGAAATTTTCTGTGCCCGTTCGCTTGAAGCACCAAAACAAAATATTCAAATAAAGAAGTATTTTTGCCTTCATATTTTAATTTATTATATATTAGGCGAATGATTCTCTATACCCCATATATATATATATATATATATATATATATACAAGTGATTACGCAATTTTTTTAGCAACATACTCAAATCGCGCACCGATAGAAATGCACAAGCTTACATTTACAATGTAATATCGACGTGACGTACAAATACCCGCCATGTATGTTTCATAAAGCACCGAAAGCCCATTGAAAGTGACAAATGTCAACTTTAACTTCGATATCGCGTGAAACTCCCCCCCCCCCTACCAACGGCTACAATCACCCAACACCACCTCCTTGCCACTCACAACGCAATATTTTGCTTTCATATAAAAGTCACTCCCGACGACGAGGTGTAATGCTTAAGATAGCATTGTGCAAAGCCTTATACGCTTCTCGACATCGAGCGATGCGACAATATCTTATCGGCTCGATGCCGGGCTCCAAGTTCCGTATCTCCAAGAGTGTCAAGCGACGTGGAAAAGCCGCGCAGCGTTAATAAAAACGTCACATCGAAGCTTGGAAACGATCGAGGCGCACGGAGGGCCTCTCGCCCGCCTCGATGTTTCCTCGGTCCGCCGGCGCCAGGGTCGGAGAGGGGATAGTCTCCGCGCGTCCCACCGCCGCTATCGCCGTCACCGCCGCCTCGGTTATCTGCCGAGGATGCCGAGATATCGCACACCTCGCGGTGTTATTATCTCCGATAACCGATAGCCGGCTCAGAGCCGCTCCCGGAGACGAGGCGAGCGGCCGAAGTCTCTTCTACAGAGCGTGAGAGAAAGATAGATAAAGAGAGAGAGAGAGAGAGAGAGAGAGAGAGTGTGTGTGTGTGTGAGAGAGAGAGAGAGGAGAAGAAAGAGGGAGAGAGAGAGAGAGGAGAAGACAGAGGGAGAGAGAGAGAGAAGGAGAGATAACGAGATAGAGCTAGAGAGCGAAATAGTCGAGGATGGTAGAGCGAGGCTGAGAGAAAATGTGGGCGCTCATCGCGATCCTGGCGGGTCTCGGAACCGGCCTGGGGAACGCTTACCCCGAGGGCTGCCGCTGCCAGCTGGACAACGCACCGAGGACCATCGACTGCTCGGATCTCAATCTCCAGAGCTTCCCCGGGAACCTCAGCGCTGCGGTAAGTGTCAAAGGGTAAATGGGAAAGCGGTGCTCCGTCACCACTGGGCGATATGCATTTTTTGGGTAATTTAAGGCTGCAGTGATCCAACGAGGGCTTTGGCCTTTCATTACAATCTATTAACGGTGTGCACGCGGGCTTCCAAATGTCGTGGAACGGGTCTGTTGTTTTGTCGTCGTCGTCGTCGTCCCCGTCGTCCCCGTCGTCGTCGTCGTCGTCGTCGTCGTCGTCGTCGTCGTCGTCGTCGTCGTTGTAGCCGTCGTCGACCATTAACTTCGCTAAGCGAGGGCGTGAGTAATGTGATTCCTACGTGACTCATGGCTTATCGCGCGCTTACATCTCATGTACAGGTAGTTGCTTGAAATAAATATATCAGGTATATTTACATTGATGTATTATACCGCAATTGAGAGCGAATGTGAGAAAGAGCGTGATAGTGTGGGAGAGTGGGGAGGGCGAGGAGGGAGAATTTTAAACGCCACTGTGATTTAGCATGAAAGGCTGCTGCTTTTATAAATTATTAATATTGTTTTGTCGGTGCGCGAGTATCGCCAGTTACGGACGCAATAATTCATGTAAAAGGTATCATTATCAATGATATTGTGAAATCGTTAATTATAAATTTCAAACTCATAATGGATTAACAGTTTAAAAATTGCCCGAGTAACGTGCATTATTCCGTGGCCATACAACTCTCTCTCTCTCTCTCTCTCTCTCTCTCTCTCTCTCTCTCTCATTCCCTCCTAATTGGAAATTTATGAAGTCTATGTAATTGGAGTAGATTATAGTTGTCGTGATTTTGTTGCATACCATGCGTAGAACGTCCACTATTATTATGACATAATGTGATAATGCCATGCATAATGAAAGAATGATTTATTGAAATTAGCTTCCATAATAATTATAACAAAAGGAAATTCCATGAAATTCTTATTCCTTATTCGTGATTTTAATGGAATGTATCGTTGAGGTTAGTTTCGGTCAATGTCATTCATCCATCAGCAAGCACAATTACCTATTTAAACCCTTTGTCGAGCGCCCGAAATTTATGAAAATTTGTTTGTATTAAGGTAGGTGGAGCACTTGGACCTCTCGGGTAACCTGCTTACGGAACTTCCGGCGGACGTCAATCGGCTTACCGAGCTCCAACACCTAAATTTGGCTCGCAATCAACTGAGCCGGCTGCCGGCGAATCTGCGAGGTCTTGGCAATTTGCGCAGGCTCGACCTCAGCGAGAACGCACTGAAGGACGTCGTCGCGGACCTCGGGCCGATAAGCCAGCTGACGCGCCTCAAAACCTTGTACCTGACGGGCAATCCACTGGGTGGCCTCACGGGACTGAGAAACGCGGCTCTGCAGTTTCTCAGCGCCGACTCATGCGGTAATACGCTTGTCGATTGTGATATTAGGACATCCGGCCAAAGTTTATAAATCAATTAAAGCAAAGGACGTCTAAGCATTGGGATGAACATTGACGCGAAAGTGAGGGTAAACCTTAGCTTGGGCTTTACATAATTTATCCTACTTTTATCGGTTTCGCCAATTGCGTAATCCAATGCTGTCCTTCGCAATTAAATCCACGTAACGTTAATGGGCCTTTATTAATAGCTCGAGGACCATGGGTGTTAATCGCGATCGAACGATTAGAGACGATTGAGAAAGTGCAATAACTAGGTTCAAGAAAGTCGAGGAAACTTACTAAAAATCGCTCGCTCTAATAACGCATTATCTCCCATACTTGTCGATAAAGCATAAAAACAATTTCAATAAAGTATGCGTAGATGAAAGTAAAATAAATAAAAATAAAAAATAAAAAGAAAAAAGAACAAATAGCATGAAATAGATCCAACGAGTTTATTCTTACGAATATTGAATTGGGCGGGGGAGTGTGCGCTATATAATTAAATCATTTATTCTAAACCTAGGCATCGAAACCCTTAAAAATACATCGCTATCGGGTCTGCCAGAGCTCGCCTATTTGAGTCTAGTCGGCAATCCTCTGAGAGATATAAAGGATCCTTACAGTCTCAAATTGAAAGGACTTGATATCTCGAAATGCCAATTAAAAGTCTTGAGTTCGCGGACGTTCCAAGGCTTTCCCGAACTTATTGATTTGCGCTTGGCCGACAACGCAATGCTTGTCTATAGCACCAGGTGAGCTAACAACATTAATAATTATCAATCGATTCACTACATTAAATATCGAACATCAAATTCACAATACTCGCGAACACACACACAGTGATAGAGAGAGAGAGAGAGAGAGAGAGAGAGAGAGAGAGAGAGAGAGAGAGAAGAGAGAGCGAGAAGCAGCCTCCGATATGTTTTAAAAACTTTCGATGCGCTGCCTTTTTGTGCTAATCGTCTACGGATGATTTCAATCTACGAATTATATTACTTTCGATATAGCTGTTTCTTACTCAATGATTATTGACGAAATCGGCTTAATTGCCAGTCTTTCGTAAGTACGGTATTTAAAGGTTTAAGAGGCAATTAATCTATCGGAATCTACATCTTTTTAACCTAACGTGAAAATTTATTGGCCATAATAAAAAATGCAGAGCCAACAGTCGCACCTGTTGGCGTTACTCGTTTGCCTTTCAATCACAAGCAACAATGATTTTATCCGCAAAGCCAATAATCGACCCACACGCGCCACCCCAACGGATTCGCAATACTCAATGACCAACTCAATTAAAGATACGAAACCCTACGGCACCAGAAGCTGCGGAAACTCGACGTCTCGAGATGCGGCCTTGACCGACCAGGACTCCACGGCCTCCCGTCCCTCACCTATGCTCGTCTCTCGAGCAACTCCATTCGCATGCTGCCCGACCACATATTCGCCAAGAATCGCGAGCTCACTCACCTCTTCCTGGACTACAATCAGCTCGAGCGCCTCAACAAGAGCTCCTTTGCCAATCTTCTCAAGCTGCAAGTCCTCGATCTCTCGTCCAATGCCCTCAAAACCGTCTCACCCACGGCATTTCGGAACAATATCGAAATGCAATTTCTCAACCTCTCGGACAACTATATCACGGATTTTCCCAAGCTCTCGGCCTCCATTATAAGTCTCGATTTGTCAGCGAATCTTATTAATCGGATGGACGACAACAGTTTGGCCGCCGTACCGAGACTTTACCATTTAAATTTGAGTAAGAATCTTATCGAGGAGCTGCCCATTAAATTGGACTCGCCGAGTCTGAGGAATTTCATTTTGAGATGCAATCGAATAACCAGCTTGGATAACGCCAGCTTCAGCCGACTTCCGGAATTGGAAAAATTCGACCTTTCCGGTAATGTAATCAAAACCGCCTCCTTCTTACATTAGCGTTGCGTTTATTATAGTAAAGGATGATCAAATAGTAAAGGATATATAACTTCAATGCAAACAACTCTACTCCATTTCATTCCTACAACTCACATTAACAAATTCCGACTATATGACTTATAACATTATATTTTTTCTTTTGTTTTTGTTTTCGTTCGGATCATTTTCAATTTAACGACAATTGTTGCTTTCTCTTTTATCACATAGCTTGTTCGTTTATCGATATATCGTAAGTTTTCTATGTAAGTTATCTACAAAGTGCCGTTACTTGGTCATCGGCAGAGAACTCGCGAGTGTCATAACAAAACTGCAGAATTTATATATTTTCGCAACAATCGGTTACACACGTGGGACACAATGTCATTGTATTTATTGTAGTTAAGAAATTGTAACACTGAAATGGTATTCTTATAACGTAATCGTGACGATACTCGTTTCAAAATTTCAAACTGTTCTCATGCAAACAATTCAGAACCACGCAAATTTCTCTCTTCTTCTTCTTCTTCTTCTTCTTCTTCTTCTTCTTCTTCTTCTTATATTGTAAAACTATTTTATTAAAAAAATCTCCGGCTAACTCGATGATTTCAAATATTTTCATCATTGTAATATTTTTTTTTTTATCATTTGTAGGCGCAGTGTATGGGCATTTATACATAGAATAATACGAGGATGAAGCCTTTACTCGTGTATTGAACTTGAAAAAATTCCTTTCCCCGTTTAATAGTTCACATGCGTTCTAGCGATCTCTTTTATTTTAATTGACAGGCACATTGCACACTTGTCTGGTATGCTTTTAACGATCATTGCTAACGAGACTGGATGAATTGCTTATGATAATTATCCTACGTTAACAATCATATTTGCATCTAAAAATATATTTGAAAATTTGTCGTTATAATTCATTGGGGAAAACGATGTTTCTTTTTTTTTTACAATCACATGGATTCTCTTTAGATACAATTTTTTGAATTGTTTTATGCAAATATTCAGATTGGCGTCAAATAATCTTGGCTTTAACAAGATAATGAATGCGGTCTATCATTTGGTTTACTACTGATAACTTTGCATACATCGAGACGTTGAATTTATTATCGTAAATAAATAGAAAACAAATATTATCTCAGATGAGTAACGAATGATTTTTCATAATCGTGCAAGCTCTACGCGTCTATACGTATTCTCGAGATAAATATAATTACTTAGCAGTTGCTTATAGAGGAATCAAGTATCGTTGGTAATTCATTTTTACGGTCAGTTCGCTAAATTTTAATTTTTCAAATGGGTATTTCCCATATTGGAAAATTGATATTGTATATCATTTCTATATTCGCATATAATGACTTCCACTATATTCTTAAAGCATGCATGAGAAAAATCATAATAATTATCCATAGAGTTTATTCATCTTGTATTATCTATGTAGTAATGTCCGGCCGGGAGTAGTTATAATAATGAAATGCAAATGCAAATGTATGCTAATGTCCGATATTTTTATACTTCTAATTCGACAATCGTATCAACTTAGATTGTATTTGGTAATTAAAAATATTGTAAAAAAATGGTACTGCTAAATTAATATATACAAACTATAGATCTTAATTATATTTACCAATACCTATTACATTTTTCAATTATTTTGATCATTAATCGAATAATCATACACTTTGATTATTATACAAAACTATTATTTCAAGATTTCTATTAAAAGTTATACGAAAAAAAAAAACTATTTTTTATTCGAGCATACCATTAAACTAAACTGCATAGTTTATGAAAAAAAAAAAAAAAACTAAATAATTGAATATTACATAAGTGCGCGTGTGTAGATATCAATAGTATATTTTATAAATTAATGTAATTATTCTTTCAGGCAATTTATTAAGTAAAGGAATAGGTTCGGAAGTATTTTTTGACAACCCTAATCTACGTCATCTTCATTTACAAGATAATCCATGGATATGCGACTGCACCCAATTATATCCCAGTTATGTTTTCCTAATGACTTTGGTAACCAAGACGGAATCGTGGATCTGCCATAGTCCAAACAACGTAACGGGTTACTCGTGGAAACTCGCATGTGCAAACGTCTGGAAGCGAAATTCCATACACAAATACAACAATAAGACATGGGGACTGATTCTCGTGAGCATACTGACAATCGTCGTTCTTTCCGGAACAATTATCTCCATTAGGCATTCCATGAAATTAAAAAGACAAGCAAGAAATCAAAGACTGGAAATGGAAAGAGCCGAAGTTAGAGAGAGATTAAGACTTCTGCAACGGAGGTTTGTATCGCAGAGATGAATTGTTCGTTAACAGTACCTGCGGCAATAATACAACATCCATTGATTAATTATCGTTATTCGTATAAATTATGAAAATTTACGAAACAATGGCTTGGCGAGGACTTGAGGAAGACAAGATCATTTTTGCAACAATATGTATTGAGTATTATCCCATTTTATGGAAATTAATTGAAATGAAGAAAAAAATCTTGTCGATTAAGGCCATTGATCACATTAGATATAAATAAATATTCTGATATTAAATTTCTAAGTTTTTATTCCCATAAATTTTATAAAATCATGATTGCAGCATAAATACCCTTTTCTTTCAAATTGTCGTCTGAATTTACCAAGATTTGGCAAATTTTACAATATTTAATGCTGGTAATGCTAAATTCGATTAAACTAACTCTACATCTCCTCTTAATAAGAATAGAAAGCATTTTTTTTTTTTTTTTTTTTTTTTTTTTTTTTATACAAAATTTATTACTACTAATAAGACGAATATAAATTTAAAAAGGAAACATTACGAAAGAAAAACATTGACTAATGATGTTCAAGCGCGAGAAAGAGAATGCAAATTTTTCTCTGCATTATAGCGACGGTGTTAAATCTCAAGCCGCGGATTATATTTTTTTTTTTCGGAATTACCTAGATTGAGCTAAAAATTCGGGTGGCAATTATAATAAATAATCCAAGTCCGCTTAAAAGAAAAAGATGAAAAAAAAATCATAATAATAAACCCTTTTGTGATTGCGCAGCTCTCCAGATTATACGTCATTTAATCGTATTCGGTAAGCAAATAATGCCGATTTCGATATCTCCAACTGCCGATTCATCTCTAAGAGCTAAAGCAAAGAGCCTCATTCTCCGTACAATGAGTTCTGTGTTAAAACCGCTAATGTGCACGTTCTTAATGCCAGCAGGAGTCACCGGCTACAGGACGAGCTGCACGAGCTGACGACGGAGCCACGGGTCCACCCCTTGGAGCTGATCGGGCCACCGAGCTACGAGGAGGCGGTGACGATGATTCGAGTCGCCCGCTCCCTCGACGCCCTCGACACCGTGACCGTGGACGCGAGCGGTAACGACGGGACGCGCCCGACCGCGCAAATGACAGCCTCCTCGGAGAGCCTCCGTGGCGGTAAGAAACGGCGCCGCGGACGTCGCCAACGATCCCAGAGCGAGGATAACCTGGTGCGCAGGGAGATACGACGGGATGAGCGGCTCCGACGGGTTCGCGAGCCTACGGCCAAGGATCAGCCGGAGTCGGAGCTCGAGCCGAGACTCCATCGGGACCCGACACCCATTGCTCCCAAGAAGAAGACCACCAAGAGATTGTCGGCGGCGAGCAACGGCACCTCCACCGACGACGAGGACTCCGACAGACAAGCGGCGCCTGATTTAGCAGCCAGGAAGATCGGTAGGACGTTGATTAGGAACTTGGAGAGGGAACCCAAGAGTGGATACAGACCGTCGACCGATGCCGACAGCTGAGATAACCCTGTCCTTGCCTTTTCGATACTCGATTCCCTGTTTATCGAGCCTCGGTTATGACATTTGTCCACTATTCGCTAAAGTATTCGAATTTACTTTACTCTACCGGCTCATACATTTGCCATTAGAATAAATGTTTTATCATACATTACCAATATGCTACAGATTCGCATAATTGCGCAGTCATTATGAAACAATGTATTGTAATTCAATTGATATTCGCGCTCGATTGTTACGATTCCATTAGAATCCACGTTAAGGCTATACTGGGGGACATGATATTCGTGTTCCTGTAAATCGTCAATTTACATAGTTAAGTTTTAAAAAATAATCAATCCTAGAACATACAATGATTAACAATACGTACACGAATCTTCCAGAATTTCTGGACGGAATTATTAAATTAAGTGTTTTAGTTCAAAAATCCAATTGTACACGTTTGCCTTAATTGTAGTAATTTTTTAACACCTTGCACGTTCAGATTACCGCTATAAATTAAAAAAATATAATGTATAGTATAATTAATATGTTGTTAAAAATTTTCAAGGTGTACAAGTAAATAGGCAGAAAGCGCGCGTCGTATCGAATAAGACTGATCTAGCAACTATTTATATATGTTTATCTGGTGGAATGTTTATGATAATTATCAACAAGCAAATATAGCTCATCGAATACTTTTATTACTCTTTTACGTGTTAAAATTAAGATACAATGGTTTCGAATCATTTATCGAGAATAAAATATCAAGACATAAAAATAATAGAAATAGTCACTATTTCCCGAGCTACTTTTTAAGTTTACATATATTTTGCCTACAATTGTTCATTCAAATTTCTCCTTCGATAATTTAGAGAATAAATGGTACTTAATATAAATAGGTAATGTATGTGTGCCTATGTTTGTGTTTTGGGTGTGCGTGCGTGCGTGCGTGCGTGCGTGCGTGCGTGCGTGCGTGCGTGCGCGCGCGTGTGTGTTGAATGTGGATGCGCGGATGCGCGGATGCGTGTTTCAGATTTTTAACGAAATGTTTCGTTAAGACCGATAAAACAAACTTAAAAAAGTATTTTAACATAAATCCAATAAAACTAATTTTCATTTTTAGACATTACACAAATATTTCTATTTATCGCCTTGTATACAATTTTAAATTAAATGACAAAAGATTTTGATATTTCATAGTATTGATGTATTTAAAATTATTATTTAAACATAAGAAAATATTCAACGTAACAATTATCAAGCATTTATATTGGAATTTTATGCTAAAGAGATATTAAAAATGCAATGATTTATAATTTATAATTTATAAACTCTTGATATCCACATGAAGAATTTTATTGATTAGATAATCAACAATTCAGCATCATCAAATGTTCGTGTAATAATGAAATTATAAAGAAAATTCATCATGAACATCTGACATGAAAATATCAACTTTCATTATTAATTATAATAAAAACAGCTAACGGTATAAACAGTTAGCCAAGCTTATCTATATATTTTTGTTTGCATCAATGGCATTAAATTCGTTAAAGTTACTCGATGAATTATTATTATTTTTTTTTTTTTTTTTTATCAAATAAGCAGTTTTGAACTTGTGCAACTTAATTAGCGAATTGCAATAATGTAATGTAAATTACAATGTCTTCAATGGCTTATTAAATATCCTTTGAATCTAGCTATTAACATTTTTCTAATAATCTTTTATTACAATTTTTTTTCGTTTTATTATAATTTCTTATTTTCCAAATGAGATTTTTTTTTGTTTCCAAATGAAAGATATTATGCTGAGGAAAGAAATATTTCAAAATGATTTAAATACTTTTGTTCGAATAAAGCATTTTGTTATTTATAGATCTTCCAATGAATTATCCGTAACAGTTAAAAGAGAATTTAATCATAATAAAAGTTGTATACATTTCGATGGATTGTATTTAGAAAGCAAAAGCATATAATAATTATTATTATAAACATTAAATCCATTCACACGAGCACATAAGTCTAATTACGAAGTATAATAATACGAAAATATAAATGCCATTGGATGACGATGCTTTATATGATATATTTTTTACATAATGTGATTACATTATTCATATATTACACTATTTGATTTTTAAAAATTATTTTATGATTAATTGAATTTATACATTAGTCGCATATTGTATACTTTTTTTCTTCTTTTTTTCTTTTTATGACTTTGAAGTACTTGAAAACTGTGCTGTAGAATTTATGCATCTATTCCAAGGAAAGAAAAATTATACATTATACATTATACATTATACATTATACATTATACATTATACATTATACATACGCATATGTGAACGTACAATTAGATACGAATATGTTTATCTTTGCATATACGTATGTGTAATTAAAAATACCTTGAAGAAAATACATTGTGGATATGGTTATGCATGTATGAGCTGTCTGTAACAATTTTATAATTTTATTTATGAATATTAGAAGCCAAATATATAATTACGGAATAAAGGTTTATCAAATAAATAATTAAACAAAAGTGCTTAAATATAGGTAAATAGAACGATTAGGGCTGTCCAAAAGAAAAAAAAGAAAAAAAAGAAAAAAAAATGAAATTCAACGAAATTATTTAACCTAAGCAAGCACAATAAAATCGTGATACTAGTTTCAAATATCTGTAACCATTATTACTTACAAATATACACACAAATCGCTGTTCGCGTATTATTAAAAACATAATGCAAATATAACGCTAACACAACTGAGTAATAATTGACACATACAAGGCGAAACAGTCGCATGCACATTGAAGCTGACAATGTGTCACGTGTGTACACTTTTGGCCATTTGCAATCGTTATTGCTTAACTTCTCTTAAATATAATGATAAAGGTATCCTGTCCAATCCGCCATATTGGATGTAGAAACATTTATTCGTTAAGATTGGTAGACTCGATCAGGACAAAAGCGAGGAAAAAATCATATTAAAGTAAACTCGGTAACGTATCACTCGGCGAACAATAACAAATGTCACTTTAATCAAACAATTTAATCGATGAGCTGTCTATCTGTCTAGGATTAACAATGTATTAATGATTTAGTGCTCGTATCCTTGCTCTTCTCAAGTATATTGTGCAGGTTTCTAAACTTAAGCAGGAAAAAAAAAGAAAATTCTAGATTGGCTGTTTGCATTAGGCAATAAATTAACATTAAATTATCATTTTATATGTTATATCTCAAGAATACAATTTCCATTCAAATGGCTTATTGGCATCACATGTCATGTATTCAACTTCCCTAGCTTACATGTAATAAAGAATTAACAAGTATGAATAACCGATTCTGATTTACCCCATGAAATGCAATGTTAATCCTTACGAATTAATAAAAGTTTAATAAGACTTATCAAGGAAATACGATATCAATGTACAATTACGTTTTAAGGATGCAAGAAAAAGTAAAACATCTGCCGATCAAGAAATTTCAATACCATTTACTAATGGAAATTTTCAAATAAAATGCCGTCTATTATTAATTAATGATCTTAATGTTTTCTTCCAATTTTTATGCTAACAAAATTTGCAGAATTTCGACAATTATAATTTTGAATTGCATACGACCAATCACTTTGTCGACGACTAGTCGCATCCACAAATCTTAAGAATTACAAAAATTGCATTTTTATTTCCAATTTATTATTCGAGTGAAAAAGTATCTGGTGAACGTTGAGGGATAATTTTCAATTTCTTAATCATAAGAAATAAGGAAGATAATTAAAATAATATCGAAATATGCCTTACGTACTATGATACACCGATAAAGTTAAATATATATTGGCAATTATGAAGAAAAGAGTATCCTAAAATTTGGCCTCTTTATTATCAATTATTTATAAGAACCACCGTGAAATTTGAATAAAAACAATTTTTATAAAATAAACCTGACCGATTAAAAATACATAAATTCTTATATGCAATAAAGTATTTTATATTAATTAGTAATTAATAATATAATTGAGCTACAACATAGGCTTATGGAATGAATGCGAATCATTAAAAATATTATTTTTATTCAGGTATAAAATAAATGCAAATATTAAAAAAATTTCTTTACAAAATTATATCAATGTTCCATTTTGTAATTTTAATTTCGTATTTGTATTTTTTTTTTTTATGTAATTCGTATACATATATATATATATATATATATATATATATATATATATATATACGTAGATTTTATTTGAAAATATAAAAGAAAAAGAAACCAAACGAATAATTAAAATATTTGCTCGATTAATTAATTATCTTTTAAGTTAACCTGATTTTATCTATATTTAGGATATTTTGTAGCTTTGCTTACAAATTAAAACGTCCACGCATTTGTTCTCAAAATATTTTATATCGTATAGTTTTACATTTGTAGCGTCGCATTTAACAATTTCTTAAACAACGCTTTTAATCGACGAGCGATCTTTTCTCTTCTTCGAGCTCAAAACTTTTATAATCCATCGCGCATTGGCTCATTATAAATATTGTACAACGAGTGACTAGTGTCCTCTCATCTTTGATAATAATAAAATGTCCTTCTTATTTCTGATCTCTCGATTCTTAAAGGCACATATTGCACATCCTTAAAATACACCTCAAGGCTCAACGAGGCTAAAGAGTCACAAGTTCTTACGAAATTCTTTGATTATGGCCGTGATAATAATAAGCCTCGGGGCGAAATCAAAGCTTTCCATACTAATTAATAGCTGAGAAAAAACTGTAACGTCAGCAACAATTTTTCATCATCCGAGGCCTTACTCAATATTATAATTGTAATTATTTATATATATATATGTGTATATATATATATATATATATATATATATATAAATTGTTTAAAAATGGTTTCTTTCATCGTAGACGGAAGTAAGGCTGAAGCACTATCGGCTTAAGTTTAGCTTCCTATTATTCAAAATTCAAAAGCTGTACAATATTGCGTCGCCCGTGAAAATAGCGCGAGAAGAAGTGCCTCGTCGAGTCTCACGGAGCCTTGATTAACTTGTCACCGTCTTTCATTCGCGTTATCAGTATGGGCGTTTTCGGCACACTGTCTGGATTATCCTGCATCGTAATCTTCACCCTGTGAGCTCCGGGAGTCAGTGGTGGCTGCTCGCAATAATCTAAAGCGTTTATGATCTCGTTGCATTCACTGTGCAAGCTCGTCCTAGTTGGCGCATCGATGGCCTCCATCGGTGGATTTAGTCCGTTAAGCGGCGCCTCGATATCCTGCTTAAGCGACTTCCTCGACGGTTTTATCGGATCGTTCACCTCAATGGCTATGCCATTCGTCTTGTTTGGTCCATTACTGGCCAAACTTGTTGGGCTTACATCGTATCGCTTCTGATTACATTTTGGCTCATCCGGCAGACTCGCGCTATTCATTAGCGGCACGTTTTCCATAGTGTTGCCGTTAATCGGCTGGACCTTCGGCTGCGTGACATTCTGGTCCAATAGAGTCCTCTGCATATCCTTCATCTCCGTGCCCCTTTCGACGTCCCTGCGCTTGCGCTTCTTTCTGCACAAGTCGCCCTTGTAAATGGCAAAGCCGAGGAGAATAGCGAGAATAACGAGAAGGGTTATAAGGACAATGTAAGAACCGATTCCCTTCTTGTTGTCTTGAGATGGTGACGTGTCCACGCTATTGTCCTCCAAGTTCTTGCTCGTAACGTCTTGGGATGTTAAATCCAACGCTCCCTCGTCCGTTGGTACGATGTTTGGTAGGTTTGGTGTTGCGCTTGGTATAACCGTGTGTTTAACGGTGTCGATCGACTCCCGAGTCGACGCGTCATTGGTCACTTGGATGAATTCCTCTTCCCTCAGATCGTCCTCCGCGCTCTTTTCCGTGCTGCTCGGGGCCGCTGTCGTATCCGATGATCCCCAGGGATTTAAATTACTAATGATGCTACCCAGTCCCCACCAGCTCGAGCTCTCGGTGGTCGTTGTCGTCGAGGACGAGGATGCCTGAGCTTCATCCTCGTCGAAAGCCCCTCTGCTCGTCTCGTTAAAATCGATTGCGGGCATACGCGCGATAATGCCCGAACCCTCCGATCCCGAGCCGTCGTCGTCGCTCTCTCCAGATCCTTCATCGGGCACGACGTGGTCAAGTGTACTTGCCGACGTGGATGTCGCGTAAGAGGAAACGGTATTTTCGGCTGCGCCTGAACTCGTCGGCCCAGCCTCGTCCTGTTTAACGTCCGTGCCCGACGGTGCACTAGTCGTGACGCTCTCTACTCTCAACGGCTCTTCCGTATCCTCGAAGGTAATGTCGTCCTTGGTTGGGCCGGTGGAGACCGATACATTGTCCGTATAAGCACTCCTGGCCGACGTTGTCGTTGTGATCGAGCTCGTTTCGGGCGTCGCTGTCGTTGAGGTCGACAACGTGCTCGACGCCATTGTCGTTATGATCGACAACGTTCTAGGCGCCATTGTCGTAGATGTCGTCCAGCTTCTGGAGCCCGTTGTCCTAGCGGTCGTCCTCGTTACGGGCATCAATGTCGATTCGAGCGCCGCCTCCTCTTCGCTCTCGATAAGCAACGTACGGTCCTCTTCTCGCTCATCGTACGCAAAGTCACTCTCCGAGATGGTTTCCTCTGTCTCAACCTCGCCCGAACCATCGACCATATCATCGATTGGCTGATCAGCTTGCATCACCAAGTCCTGCTTCTCAAACTCGCACATTAATCCCGTCTCGGGCTTGAAGATCGACGCGCGCTTAACGGAACTCGGCTCCGAGCAATATGTCTTCTTCCCGATCTTTATCCCACGTGCTAATAAAGCATCTCTGAGCTTCATGCTCGCGCAATTGCAGTTGAGAGCATTGCCGGATATGTCGAGCACTCTGAGCTCCTTCAAGCTTATCAGAGCCGAGGGAAGCTGCCTGATGGCATTGCCTTCCAATTTCAAGCTATAAACGCGCTTGAGCCCGTCGAACGCCCCGGCCTCCAAGTGACTTATGCGATTATTCGCGAGATTGAGTGTTTGGAGAGAGCCGAGCTTGGCGAAGCTGCCACTCTTGATGATCACGATATTGCCATTTGACAGGTCCAAGTGCCGAAGACTCGTGAGGTTGTTGAAGTTGCCAGGTGCCAAGATTTTCGACGAGGAGGGTGCTCGCAGGGCATGCAAATGGTACGTGTCGATGTATCGCGCATCTTCCAGGTCGTGGCACAATGCCGCGGCGTACTTGTCGAGGGAACAGAGGCTGTCGGCCGTATCCCAGACGGCGGCAAAAATTGCAAGTAACAGGCAGCCAAACTCGTACGTCCTCATGGTGAATTTTTGTCGATACTGAAAGGAAAAAAAAGCATCGTTAAGGCGCTCTTGCATTATATCTTGAAGGAAAATTGATTTAATGGGATTGTAGTCGATCGAGCTGACATTACCGATCATTATGAGCGTGCTATGTTTATCGATAGTTGGGCTAAAAAGTATCATTTTGCACTTTAACGTGGACATTGTTGGCAGTATCATCGATGGAAATCGATTGGAAAAGCAAATTACGGTATAGTGCCTATAAAAACTGTCGTCGTTTTTTTTTCTCTTTTCATTTTTCATTTTTTTTTTTTTCTTTTTTTTTTCTTTTTTTTTTTTTCTTTTAATGCATTCGTTAATCATCTAATTAGCTCATCGAATTACGCTCGTCGCAGTTTTATCGCATTTTTGCGCGGCCCCGTATCTCCACTCGATTAAAAATTAAAATTAATGGCAACCCAGGGGCGGAGGCAGAGCGGACTAATGATTCCGTGATTAATCGCTCGGCGACATTTGGTATTCGAGAAAAGCCCCGGGTCGCGCGTCACGAGGCACAAAAAGCCCCGGCCGATGCATAAATATCCGGGATTGTTGTTTACCACCGGTGTAAGTAATGGTGTGCATGCCAACTGCTTGTTAGACAAAGAGAAGAAAGGGAGAAGCACAGTGGGCCCATCGGCCAGCCAACCGGCCATCGATGCCAAATAACGCATGAAGTGAAAAAGCGATGTCACGCGGCGTCGTTTCGCCCTGGAGGTTAATGCCATGCGCGCGTCGCATACCGATTCGCGAATAGTGCACGCGCGCGTGCGTGCACAGGCCGAGTCCCGGCTTTCGTCACACGGTCCGCCAAGCGGAACGGGACTGCATACACGGACATCGTTACCCCGCCCCTCGTCACAGTCCATGATAATTACGCGTGGCGTTAGCGTCAATTGTGGCGCACTGGCGAGCGTACCGACCTCCGCCAATGTGCTCACCACAATACCAAACTTCGCTTCTTCTTTTTTTTTTTCTTTTTTTTCAGAATTACCCTCCCCCGCCGCCCCACGACTACCGCATCGTGCGCGGATGCATTACTTACCGACAGCCAGACAGCGCGCGAGGCATAAAAGGCTCGTAAACTCTAAGTCTCTTAAATACAGCGAGTACGCTTTTCCGCGCTTCCATTTCAATCGGGTAGCGGTGTTGCGCACACGAGCGCGGTTATTACCTTAAATTAAAGCGATCTCTTTATCTCTTTAAGGCTAGAGCTTGCGTGAGCAGAAGATTCGCCCATCGATTCCAAAAACATTAACTACTTCTTAGGGGCCTTTCGAGTGGCTCGGCAAAGCTAATAAAATCATAAAAATAGGCAATTTCTTGGAAAGTGTATGAAGTACTGATACACGTGGTAGGGATTTTGTTGGAGGGGGTAAAAAAGGGGGGGGGGGGAGCCCGTAAAGCTCGCCGGACTCGAATTTTCTCATAAGTACCAAGAGTTAAAAAAAATTATAGCCACTTTAATATAGTAGGATTTTTACACGATTTTTACATTACTTTTGACGAATTATATATATATATATTTTTTTTTTTTCTTATATATTTCTTTATAGTTTTTTTCCTTGTTATATATATATATATATATATATATATAACAAGAAAGAAAACTATTAATTTATTTTAAAAATTATAACTTCTGTATAAATAATCACAACGTTTCAATACTTTTTCTCAAATTTACCATTAACACTGAAATATAAAGATGCACGTATATATTTTAATATTCTTCATTATAAATGGCGTTACTCGTACTTTATTAGGAAAAAATTATTTAATGATATTAAAATATACTTTTATCATAGAATCTTCATTTTTGCCGGACGCTGAATCGCTATTATGTCTAGAATAAACTGCCAGTTGAGAGTAACTTGATTATTAGCTCATAATTATACATAAATTTTTTACAATACTAGAAAAACTAGAATGCCTTTACATTTATGCATTATTATGGATAAATGTTAAATAATCATATTTGTATTAAAAATAGACAGTAGTAGTGCGTGCCAAACAAAAAATTCATCAACTTATTAATGAATAGCTTACGTATATGTATGTATATGCGCGTGGGGGGGGATGCGTGCGTGCGTGCGTGCGTGCGCGTTTAGAGATAAAGAGAGAAAGAGAGAGAGAGAGAGAGAGAGAGAGAGAGAGATATTTTTCATATCTCATTTTTATATCTAATTTTTTTAATTTACCAAAAATTTTCCATTTTAAATGCGTTGAAATTAATTATTAAATCGAGAATTTATTAGATTATTAATAAATGGGAATGTATTTTTCATAAGTAAAAGGCAAGTATTATTAATATTAAGAGACATTGCTTATTATTCAGCTGGCTATAAAACGTAAAATTTATCGTGCAATAATCGACAACCAACTCTCTATTTCTCTCTCTCTCTCTCTTCCCAAAGTTCATTATAACAATCTTGAAATAAGAAAGCCAAGGAAAAATTATAAGCATTTAGGAGATGATAGCATTTTTTTTTAACATTCTCATATAAACAGTATTTTTTGCTCTTTTCAGAATAAAATAATATATCATTGGAGCAGTATAATAATTCACGAATATAAAAAATATCGTTCTCCCTCTTCAATTATAGATAAACTATTCACTAAACAGTTAAAATTGTTTACGTAGGCAATCGATTGATTAATCGCTCTTCCAATCTAACAAATTCATATCTGATATCTAAAACTCATTTCCGCATCAAAATAAAACAATAAGCACTTAAAGATAAATCACAGCCGTAGAAAAATACACGCAAGCGCGAACAAATTTCCACTAATAAAATTAACGGATTTCCCAATTTTCAACATACAATTATAACCTACGGAACAATCTATAGCTTCACAATCCCTCGCAGCGGCACATCTCACCCCGGTGATTTAGATCCATAATCAACGAGATCACACTCACAGCCAGCAGAGGTTGAGAAAAATAAAATCACGCGATTCGATATCGTAGCGGCAACTATCGGTGGCTGATCCGTGCAGACATTAGGACCGGACTTGCTCCTCCACCGCTCGATCTCGCTTATCTCGAGATTCTGTATCTATAATTGGGGTCGGGGAGCCAAAAGATCGGCGTCGCGACGCAGTTATCCGTTTACGTGCGCGGCTTCGATGACGATCATCGGCGGGCATCCGAAGCGACACTGGCCTCGCGATGCCGCGGAGATAGAGCGGATAGGCTAACCGCAGAGATGGAAATAGAAAGGCAGATAGAGAGAGAGAGAGAGAGAGAGAGAGAGAGAGAGAGAGAGCGATTGTGTATGTATGTTGGCGCACGCACGCGTACGGTTTGTGTATTTATGCTTATGGGTAAAAGAGATAGAGCGCGAGTCTGGAAAAAGAGCGGAGAGGAAGTCGCATAGAAAGGTGTAGCGGAAGCTACTGGGGATGAATAAAGTGTGGAATGTCAAGGAGATGAGTGAAGATTAGTCTACACACATGCACACACACCCATATGTATATATATATATATATATATATATATATATATATATATACACATAATGATATATAATTTTATCAGTTGATACAAACACTTAACGCATTGTTCTATGGCGGATCGATAGGAAGAGTAAAAATTTTTCCAATCTTGATATAATTTGAATTTTGATAAAACTGCTGATTATTGAAATGTAAACAATTTTCGTTGACGATTAAAGCCTTGTATAATTTACATTAATAATAGGAAAGTTTCACAACCACTTTAACCACATAATAGAAAGAAATCCGCTAAATTATTTTCATTCCATTTATTCTTTTATTTCCCATATTATTAAAAATTAATTTAAAAAAAAAAAACAAAAAAAAAATAATACTATATAATTATTAAGTAAAATTATTCAATTTCAATTTTCACGAATAAATAATATATTAAATGGTATGGTATGGAATTCAAAACCTTATAATCACATGCTTTACCTAAACCTTGGCATTTTGCTCTATCAGATTAATTTTTTTTTTTAACGCTTTGGCAATACCTACGTTATCGATATCTCTAAAACATCGGTAAAACATACCTCGTACACTAATAACATAAAATCCTATACATAGAACACACACACATATATATATATATATATAAGTTCTATGCATGAGAAACCGTCATTCATACAAAGACGATGAACCTTCGAAATAAATAGAAACATTGTCTTATAAGAAAGGAAGACGCATCCACATACTGCAGTCATAAACTATTTTCACTGCTTTGCATACGACTTGCGAGAGGCACAAGTGTTGCGTGACATCAGCTACGACATGGATATTCTTGGTGACCATAAGCACCACGTATCATGTGTAAATAAAAGATAATGCGAGCCTGATCAAATGGAAAATCATTAATTCGACGAAGCTCGAAAAGCAACGACGACGAGAAAAGGGAAACTTTATGTGACGTATGTTCACCTGGATTATTGCGTCACCGGAAAGATCGTTATCAAAGAGAATTCCTTGTACTGTAGGCTCTTGTCGGTAAAAGCAAGAGACATATGAGAGGAGGAACCTTTGTCGAAAGTCTTCCCAGGAAATATCATTTGATTCGTCCACGGAAAAGATAATGAAAAAAGCGATTGATCTCAAAATTGGGTTTGTTGATTTTTCGATTATTTAATTTCAACAGGGAATTTCAATTATGAATGGGGGTATATCGAAGACGCGCGCACGTTTCTTCATTCCTTTCAAACGGGAAAACTGATTTGGAATTCAGAATATATATAGAATGTATGTGCTACACTTTCCGTATATCATATTATTTGCTGCCAATCAAATTATTTTAATACTATCGATAAATCTTATTGGCTTCTCAAAACATGATTTAGGCATATGCAGTGTCGTAGCAATTATCATGCCAAGCGTGATTTATAGAAGAAAAAAAAAAGTTATAATATTTTTTTAATCATACGAGCTAAGAAGGCTATAAATAAATAATAAAGAATTATTTTATTTTATTTCATAAGATATGTATGAATAAATACGAAGTAGATAATATAAAATGCGACTACAAGTCGAGAGCATTGGGATGAAATTCGAAACTGAAAATTGCCATGACATGCGATGTATAACAAATTGAAATAATGTCATTTGAATTTAATCATAAATTCAATAACATTATGTCGTCGTATATTGTAAATCAATGCTTTCCAATGCTCGAGTGAAAGTTAAGAAGCTGACAATATCGTGTCCAATGATAAATACTATCTTGGCCTACTTTAAATACTAAATTGCACATAGAATCAATAAATTACATATAATTCACTAAATTATCCGACGAAAGAAATCTACTAATAAACAATAATTTGACATATGATCATGGCAGAACAAAGAAATGTGTTATTTTTCAGCAATTACCCGATAAAACAATATTTTTTATAAATACACAAATTATTTCAAATTTTGTTTTCTATACAGACGAATAAAAATTTAATAAGAAAAATAAACATTCGTTCGTTGAAAGCGTGATAGTCAATTTTTCTTTTTCATTTTTTGTCTCAAGATTATAGTCGACTTAACCAATACATTATTATTATTATTCTCGATTAAAATATATTCTAATTTATGAGCTTCCAATTAAAATATAATTAATCTTTATAACAGGAATGAAATCAAATAATATATTTTTGTTGTTGTTTAAATTGTCAAAAATATATATTAACCATGGAATTTATCGTGAAAATGATCCGTTATTTCGTTATAAAATTCAACGAAACTTTTCATCATAAATATCATATAAAAATTTATAATGGTTTAATCAATTTGTTAGGAAAAACAAGATGTACTAGTTTAAACATTTATCTATGCTCTTTGCCATAACTATGTGAATTAATGCAACGAATATTTTAGAAACAAGGTATTATTATCAGAATTGAAAATAACATTTATTGTTTTCTATACGGAATAACTTTTTCCTAATCTGCGTACAAAGACAAGTAGATACATACTAAACAATTAAAAATCCAATACTTTCTACGTAGAATAAATACCGTTTACATAAACTACATATACAGTAAATGATTATGCAATAACAAAAATATAATTCGTTTTTGGATTATTTGTTTATAACGGTAATATCTACTTATATATATATATATATATATATATTATTTCATGAATATTCGTTCTTATCGTAGATATTAATTAAAAATGTTTAATAGTAAAGTCAAATGATAATAATTTAAAAATTAACTATCACTCTGAAATGTTAGTAGTATATACTCCATAATCGTGTTTTTACTGTCTCAGTCAATGATTTTAAATTAACATTTTTTTAATGTAATATCAGAATGTAAAATAGGTGTTTCTTTTTTCTAATATATGTTACATTAATTTCAATGCTAATGCATCTCAAAAAGGTTTTCAAATGGTTTAAGAATTTTTATAAGGTCAAATGGCAGTTAATTTTCTTACAAATTATACAAATGAAGTTTATTTTACCACTAGGATAATTCCTATCACATATTCAATTCAATTATAAAAGTCAGCATTTAAATCTGAACACACTTACATATCTGTAAATTACAACGTTTAATATTGAAAATCATAATAAACGTTAACGAGTCAAATATTTAATATAAATTTATTAAATATTAAAAGCATTTTTACATATACATATATATATATATATATATATATATATATATGTATGTACTATAATTAATAGCAAACACAAAGTTAATTTACTATAAGAGTATTCAAATATGTTGCTATAATTAGAAAATAGTAATAAAAATTTGGAGAATTCTATCCTTTTCTAGATAACAGTTTCGTTCATAGCATATTAACATTTTTAAACTACATTATTTAAACGTATTTGTCTACCTCTATATTTAGCTTTTATTAAAATTGTGTAAAAGTCGCAAGTAATTAAGAATATTTACTTTATATTATAGAATAATATATGTAATCTTGCAAATTTCAAACCATTACAATTTCTAATGATATTTTGTCATTAATTTTTTCTCTAAACTTGAACCAAAACCAAAGTTGTATTATCGTTTTATTATAACTGAATATTATTAAATGTAATGTATACTGAATAAAATTAGATGTTTCATCATCAGATAAATAAAATGTTAATTGGCAATATCTTAGATAAAAATCTAATGTACGAATGGACGATAATAATAATAATACTAAAATTATTGTAAAAATTATTAATAATAAGCATAAAGTTTATTTTACATGATTTTTTTATTTCATTCATGATATTACTTTATGTCAATGCTATTATTATCAATGCTACAGAACTGATTGTATTAATAATTATTTATAGGAAAATTTGAATTACATATATTCGCAACTAAATACTTGAAAAAGAGTTATTTATTATCATTGTACTTTATAATATGCAATTAATAACTACGCAAGAATTGAAAATAATGACTTTAGCTCATTACGAATGATAATCTAAATGTTCAAATAAGTGTTTTCGACGGTTAGATTAAGAGTTAAAGCTATAACAATCATTTTTTATGTATTTACATATCATTAGAATTTGTACTATAAATTTTTATATTATGATAATTCCATTAATTTCTATTAATGAATAGAATGAAAAATTGATGAATTCCTTCTATTAAAATAAATCTTTTTTTTTTCTTTATATTAGATTTAAATAGAAATTTTACAATTAACTGAAAATTGGTATAAAATGCTCTGTTATTTTATGAAATATTAACGTGAAAAATTTTAATTTTACTCATTTAGCTTATTGACTTGACTGATTATTTTAATAAATTTTTTTTTTTTTTTTTTTTTTTTTTTTTTTTTTTCTTGAACGAAAACCATACTTATTTTGTACGTTTTAACGTTTTAAATAATATTCTTCAAATAAATGCACTTTAATATGAATGTACATTAATGAAATTGTTTTACTAATTATAAATGTTTATTTTTATAACGTATTCTGTGATGAATGAACAACCGATTCAAATGCATAATTTCTTTTAAATAAATTAGCTAACAGTTAATTAGCATTAATGTGACAATACACGAGTTAATCATATATATTATATTTTACAATAAATCAAATCGAGAACAAAAAGAGTCTATTATTTCTTTTATTTACCAGAGAAATAATTTACAACGCACTCTTTATGAAATACGTGCATTTACTTATAGAAGAAATTAGTG